AAAATAATTATTTTCATCAGCACCTGAAAGCAATAACAAAGGTGATGCTTTAGCAAGGTGACCTATGCTATATTCTGAATATGATCATTAAACAAGTAAACAACAAAATGAACTGTAGGAAAAGACTTCTATTCTGTAAATGTAACTGGAAATAGTTAACTGAACTGTATTTCTATGACTTAAGCGCCCTTAATTACCGTGTTTCCCCAAAAATAAGATAGGGTCTTATTTTCTTTTGACCCCCCCCAAATTTTGTTTGGGCCTTATTATTGGGGGGGGGGTTATTGGTTTGGGATTGCCATGTGGCTGCTCTCTTGCGAGTGGGCGCCCGAAAAACCGGGCACAGCCTCAGGGTCAAACTGTCACAGCAGCGCAACAAAGCCGCCATGAGCAGCTACCTGGCAATGCCCCTTTCCAGCCGGGCAGTACCAACTCAGTAATATCCCAAAGGTGCTAAGCCGCATGGCGCTCTACCCAGCTGGAAATAGAGGTTGCGTGCGCACTTGTTCTGCTTCCAGCTCGCGTGCCTCCCTGCCTCACCATGCCCAACTCTCCCTGCAGGGCTGGGCCAGAGCGCTGCGGCTGCAGCAGCCCCATTGCTACTGCTACCCCCGCCACTGCCATGCTCCAAGTATAACCGCCTTCCAAACTCTGGAGATCCGCTGCCATGTCTTCCGGCAGTGGCTGCTCTGTACCAGAGTCTTCCAACATGCTCGGAGCATGGCGGCGGCAGCAGCAGTGGGGTGGCAGCAGTGCTGGCGCCCTAGCCCAGCCCAGCAGGGAGAGTTGAGCATGGTGAGGTAGTGAGGCATGTGAGCTGGAGGCAGAACAAGTGCTCGCGCAAATTCTCTTCCCACACAGCTTAGCGCCTTTGGGATATTACTGCCCAGCTGGAAAGGGATGTTGCCAGGCGGCTGCTTGTGAGAGCAGCTGTCCAGCAACCCCCCGCTCCAGCTGGGCACAGCGCCACCCACCAACCTAGTGGTATCCCAAAGGCGTTAAGCAATGTGAGCACCTTTGCCCCCCCCGGCTCCTGCAGCTTTGCGCCTTCGGGATATCACTAGGTTGGTGAGTGACACTCTGCCTGCCTGGAAGGGAGGGTGTCCAGTGGGCTTATTATTGTGGGAGGGCGTATATTTTTGCCCACAGGAAAAATATGGCATGGTCTTATTATCAAGACATGTCGTAATTTCAGGGAAACACGGTAGTAAGCTTATTTTTGTATGCAAGTGGTTATACGCACATAGAAAAAAGAGCTATGTGACAATTTAAAATAAAACTATAACCAAAAATCAACTGAATTAAAAGATAGAATAACAGATATGTCTTGTCTTTTGGAAAGATACATTTCATTGCAGAAAACCAACAGTAAAGAGTGATTATGATGCTGCGATTAGACTCACAGAGTTTCATTTCTTCACAGTATCAAATGAATAGCAACTTAACAAATATATTATCTACCCAGTTGTCATGAGACTTAGTATAATAAATCACACGCTGGGAAACTGAAACATCCCACAAAGCAATTATATGGAAATATAAACTGGAAAGCCAGTAGGCTTTTGTTGGAATAGATTTATTTAATCACAAATCTGGCAATAAAACTGCTTTTTAAAATTTCAATTCCAGCAGGAACACTGATTTAGTAAGAAGTACAAAGTTTTCCAATAAAAACAAAATACTTTTGACAAAAGTGAATGTTCGCAGTGTCTTGAAATGAAAATGTTATTGGATAAAAACTGAAAAATAAAATTCTTGTACTACATCTAAAAGGCAAACAGAGCTTACTGAAATATGTTCTGCTTATTCTGTGTTTCAGTTCAGCATAGAAAAGAAAAATAAGGAAAATACACCTCAGGTTTTCTTTAACTCGCAGGTGGGGTGGTCATTGGCAAAGTGTTAAGAAAGCAATTAACATAGTTTTGAATAGATACTTTGAGTTTCCAAAGAAGAGATTAAGCAGTATCTTTGATCTTTCCATGTCCCAACACAGATGCTATTCAAGATAATCTTATTGTTTTATAGATAAAGGAATCTGTTTTATGCTAGGGCAGACTTATGTATCTACTTATTCCAGTGTTATCATATTTTAATGAGCTTTGGCTTTTCAAATCTTCACAGAGGTCTTTCATTTCATCAGATTTACTTTCTTTTTAAATTGATATATCAGGAACAGGAAGCATGTGCTCTATTTGTTATTTTGAAAACTCGCATGCCAAAACATATAAATTAAAAACTATGCTGAATTTCAGTCCCAATTAAGCTTTAAAATTTTAGTTATATTAAAATTCTCATTTGCACCAATTCTGAAATTAATTCCTACAAAGCCTACATAATCTCCTCAAAATTCCAATCTGTTACAAATACGTCTGATTAAGTTTTTGTTTTCCTACTGTACAAATAACCATTTATCTAATCTCTTCTATCACTTTACTCACCAAATCAGATGCAAAACCGTATACAGAATACCAGATTTGGAAGGGATCTAGTTCAAATAGCCCAAGCAGGAGAGCCAATACCAGAGATGACAAACCTGGCTGTACAGCAAAACGGGCTGTAAATGGCCCCCAAATGGCCTAAAACCAGCTCAAGAATGGGCTTTCTTTTTGGCTGGTTTTCAGGTGGTTTTCCAGTGCTCCAGCGCCCACAAAGAGCAGCTGATGATGGTGTGTGTATCCACAGAAAGGGCTCTGCATGACACCTGTGGCACACGTGCCATAGATTTGCCATCAAGGGCCTATACCATTCTAGGCAATTAAGTCAACAGTCAATGACTTCATAGCCAACCATCAACACTCCAATCAACTACTAAAAAGTCACACACAATCGGGAACCATATAAACATCACACACAGAATAGCCCAAAGCACACACTCTGTTAAAGAAATTCCCTGAGCATGGGCTCCAGCACGAGCCTGAAAGCTCGGAAGACTAAACATCAGGTCCCAGTGACTGATTGAGATTGGATCCTGCAACATTATCCTGGGACACGTATATTTTTAATCCCTTCTTAAAATCCTCCAGTGATGGAGCACCCACAGCTTCTGAAGGCAAGCAGTTCCACTGATGAATTGTTCTCATTGTCAGGAAATTTCTCCTTAGTTCTAGATTAGATCTCTCCTTGATAAATTTCCATTTGTTACTTATTGTCCTCTCCTTGGATGCTTTGAAGAATAGGTTGATCCCTCTCTTCTGCGACAGCTCTTCAAATATTGGAAGACTGTTATCATGTCACCCTTCATTCTTCTTTACATTACACTAGACCAGAGGTGTCAAACTCATGTTGTCACAGCAGTGTCCCATTACATATTAGGACTTTTCCCCCCTTCACTAAACCGGGTGTGGGTGTGGCCTTTGCGTGATGCATCCGGCCTGTGGGCCGGGAGTTTGACACCCCTGCACTAGACATACTCAATTCCTGCAAAGGTTCTGCATATGTTTTAGCCCCCAATCATCTTTGCTGCTCTTCTCTGCATTCTTTCTAGAGTCTCAACATTGTTTTTGTATTGTGGTCATCAAAGCTAAATGCAATATTCCAAGTAAAGTCTTACCAAGCAATAGAAAGCAGTACTAACACTTCATGTGACCTTGATACTATTTCTGTTGATGTAGCACACTGCTGGCTCATATTTAAGTGGCTGTCCACTAGGATTCCTAGATCCCTCTTACAGTTACTGCTGTGGAGCTACATACTATTCATTCTATAATTGTGCATTTGGTTTTTCTTGCCTAAGTATACAACGTCACTTTTCTCACCATTGGATTGCATTTTGTTCAAAAGGTATGCAGTACTGTTCTGACATATATATGTTATTTCCAATATCGGTATGAATTTGAAGCATTACCTTATTTCAAATCAAGCAAAAGAAAATACAACATAACATGTAGCTTTACAATGCACATTAATAGTTTTTAAGGTAACAATATTATTTGCAACAACTCACCTGTAGGATTCTCTGCAAAATTAATGGCAGAGCAATGAATGTTGTCATATTGTTCAATACTTGCATTGTCAAGTTCTTCAAATCTAAAGAACAAATATGGCAATAAAACTTATAGCAATGAATTTGATTTAAGTCTGTAATTTTTGTCTCAATGGTGAATACAATTAAGAGGAATGATGTATGTAGCTAGTGAATTTTTCCTTTTGTGAATAATTGAACTGGAATCTCTTCATTGTCTTAACTCAGGGGTAAGCAGCCTTCTTGACAGCAAACAGCAAATGTTTTACAGGATCATGCACCACAAAAATAATGTTAAATATTTAAAATGTAAAAGTTTTCAGTGATCTCACTACTGACATTTGTGGAACTTCACATGATAATGCTGAAAGCTGAAATCTTACATAATTTCATTTGAGAACACTGACATTTTGCAAGATATGGTGATACTATGAGATGTTGGGTACTTTTAAAAATGTTTACAATTAAATTTGCATTTAATTTTAGCATTTTTACGATGTCCTCCTATACCTCACCTAATTGCATTTCAAATCGGCAATATTTTCAAAAGGATTTCCCCAAATTAAAATTACCTTTGGAAAGGTAGACTAACTTAAATATCACTTAGGTAAAATGAATAATGTAGGATTTTATAAATAAATACACTCAATAGCTACATTTAAATGCAAAAGAAGATAACTCCAGAAACTTTACTGATGAAAAATGTTGCCAAAACCATGCTTCAAATATCTAGTCATACCAGACTCAAATTCATAATTTTATCCCAGAAAGGAAAAAGTAAAGAAATGTTATTTAGAAATATATTGCTAATATTACATACAAGTGAATTGCTCAGTAGCAAAATTAATTCACAGCTTTCTTGTTATTTGTCATTTTGTCTTGGATATCTCTTCTTGGACAAAAAAGGAGACAAACATGCTTACATTCAGAGTAACGGGGTAGTAGTGCAGATCTTTGGGGTGCCAACATTGCCTCTAGGAGCGGAAACCACAGTGCCTAAAAACAAAAGGAATCTCAGAGTTGCACAAAAAATAACCTCCATCAGTCTCACACAGAGTATCTTGCTTCTGTCCCTGGATGTGCCCAATGCCTGTACCTGCTGGAAAGCAGCACCAACACCACTATAAACTGAAAAGGACATAAGTGCCTAGCTGCCCCTTGGGAAACAGACTTTCTCCCTCATCTAAGTGATAAATGCAACATATCTCCAAATGTACTGCTCCTGTATTGGGAGAGCTATTTTAGAGCCTGCTGCTGCCATAATTTCCCAGCCTCCCAACTTGCATTGCATAATGCATCCAGGATATTTTGGTTGCAGACAATCTCAACACAATTTCTCTATCCCAGTCAACTTCACTGCTAACATTTCCCAGCACACCTTTGGGAATCAGGTCTAGTAAGACTAAGGCATGCTGATGTTAAGGGGCATTGGGGAGCATTCTGCTATAGCAGGGGTGTCAAATTTGTGACGCCATGGCATCGTCACATGACAAATCACAACTTTTTCCCCGGGTGTGGGCATAGTCAGCGCGTGACACATCCAGGCAATCAGCCGCGAATTTGACAGCCCTGTGCTATAGAATACATACCTAGTGTAGTATGGCAGAACCCAATAATTTTTCAATATTTCTTATTAAAATACAAATTAGCTTTCTCTGGGCTTTTTATAGGATAATGGTAGGAAAGTATTTCTAGTAAAGGAGAAAAATATGTTATGTGGCTGTTATTTAAAAGACAGACAGATCTCACACCGCTTTCTTTTCTACAGTAATTGAGTGGGATTACCTTAATTCAAACTCTTTGTTTCCTACCTTGTGAATCCAGAATGTTGATTACCAACAATAATACATCAGAAAGGCTTAGGGTTGCACTTATCTCAACAGGAAATATTATTATTGACTTTATAAAAAGGGTGATAGGAAAATAGATAAAATATATGAGTCTACAAATCTACCTTAATGTTACCAAAAAGTGGGTTTATGGGAAACAAATGCATCCCCTTTTAAAAGCCAGAGTATAAGGGAATACTTACTTCTCGCTCCTGCTGATTAAATTTGTGTGAATTCCTCTGGCAAAGTGCAATGGTTTTTCCTAAGGTATCTTCAATATCTTTTAGTAAAGGAAGTTGTGCTGAAACTTGGATTAGAGAGAAGCAGTAGTTAGATATTATTTTGTATTTAAGGCAATTAAAAATATATATGGAGGAGCATTAGTCACATCATCGAGAAATGTGTGTTACATGTAATAGCTCTTTGGAAATGAGAAATAAAAAATGATAAATGTCTACAAAGCCTGGTATTGATTCTGACTGAATAACACAAACATTTAATATAACATTTAATTTTGTTCAAGATGCACAAATAAATCTGTTCCTGAAACTTACTTTTATCTCCAGAAGTCAATGTTGAAAGCTTGCTTTGTAACCACTAAGAAAAAATATATATATTTTGTGTTATTTGAATTCACATCGCATTTTAAAAGCTATCCATAAGCACCCATTCTATTCTTTTCTCATTCACTAAGACTTCCACATTTTCCTCAACTGTTGTAAGAATTGGTCATATTTCTGTACAGTGAGCCACACTAGGGAGAGCAGTTATTAAGAGAGGTCATCACGTGGAATATTTTATTTTATTTTCAACTGTAATGGGCAGGCTCCATTATGGTGGCTGACTGAGGACTACCTATGCTCTCAGTAAGAACTGTAATGACAAAGTGGCACTTCATATATTTACACATTTAATAAATCTAACAGGTTTTACAAACATCTGTTTTCAATTTTAAAATTATGATCAGGTGTGAATAAGAATAAGGATCATAAAGGTTGTTCTAAGGATAAAAATCAACTTGGCAACTTAATTCAAATTTGGTAGATATATACAATAAATCCAATGAATTCTAGATTTTTAATGCATTGACCACCCCCAATGTTAATTTTTGATTCAGCTTAATTTTTTTCTAAATAAAAAGAAAAAAAATCCCCCTTGCCATTTCACAGTTTCCACTATGTTATACCTTAAGCATAACTAAGAAGGCACCAGGAATGTCATCTTTCTTTTCAAGCAAGTAAGAAGAAGCCTCATGGAGCTGATATTTTTGGGTGACCTGCATAAAATGCCAAACATTAATTTTAGCGATTTGTATGCAGAAAACATTCACTATTTGGATAGCCTGGATCACCTCTGGGGGGGATACAACCGTATCTCTCTCATTTTGCTAGACATAAAATTTCCCACACAATTAACCTTCTATATTTTTCATTACAGTAGAAGAAAGAGAAGCAAATTAAAGAGAAGGAACTTCAGATGCAAGGTAACAATTTACAAAAGCTTAGCTACCGGGCATCATCCTGATCCCTTTTCAATTGCTTTTTTTTATTTTTCATGAATGAAGGCGAATATACATGTCCCATGATTATGTTGCAGGATCCAATCTGAGTCAGTTACCGAGGTTTTGTCTTCCAAGCTTTCGCACTCGTACTGAAGCCAATGCTGCCAGAGAGAAGTTCCCTGAGGATGGGCTCCAGCATGAGTCTGAAAACTTGGAAGACAAAACTTCTGGACCCGGTGATTGAACCAGATTATTTTTATAAATAATAAAAATATGAATATATAAAAGGAAGTTATACAGAACTCTGTAATATGTACCAACAATCTCTGGTGTCTTCCCCCTTATAATTTCAGATGCCTATCTTCATGATTCAGTAGTTGCTGTTTCCTGAATTGTAAGTTCAACATTTTATTGCCATAGAAATATAACAAAATTTTGAAGCAAAAAAGGGATCATATCTTGAATGGACAAAGCTCTTGCTAAAATTATACCAAGCTAAATGATGGTAATCTAACAAGTGCCTGTATAGAATTTTTGATAACTTAGATTGTCAGATCATGTTCAAGTTACATTGGCTTGGAAATTTCCTACTTAAAAAAATATTTAGCTGTAAACTAGTTCAAATTATCATAGTGAGGGAGTAGGCCTCATCTCAAAGGTAGCACAGTTTACTTTTGCCTAGTACTAGACATACACATATTAAAGATGAATATCTGAATTTTGCAAGTATATATATGTATGTACACTGATACAAACAAGTTTAGTTTCCAGAAAGGCTAGTACATACGATTACTATAGGAGCTTGATAATGTTGAGTTCCAACTTCCATGCACAAAAGCTTAGATAAGCCCATGCTTCTCACATACAGTAGACAACAGAATAGGTTTGAGAGAACCGTACCATGTGGTGGAGATGGAGCCTACAATACTGCATTAATTGCTTAAAGAAAGATAATTGTGTAACAGTGTAAAATAATATAATTGATTTTAATAGTAGATCTTACAAAACTGAATCTAGTTTCAACCTATTCACACACATTACCTGAATTGTCTCTTCTAGCCTATAGGAGTCCAGGAACTTCAAAGTCTCTAAGACCTGGTCAGCATCATACCGACACAGCAAATCAATAAACTGTTCGGTAATAGAGGGCGAAAGCTGAAGCAAATCTTGATTGATACCTTCCCTGAAATAACAAATATTTCTTAATATTAGTTACTAACATATCCTAAACACTTCAGATACAGACATTACATATTGTGATAAAATACATAAAACCATATTGAAACATATTCATATGCAGAAAAAATATTTATTAGAATTCATAGAATATAGAGCAGTGTTTCTCAACCTTGGCGACTTTAAGTCCTGTGGACTTCAACTCCCAGAATCCCCCAGCCAGCTCTCGCTGGCTGGGGAATTCTGGGAGTTGAAGTCCACAGGACTTAAAGTCGCCAAGGTTGAGAAACACTGATATAGAGTGTCCATAATTTTTCATGAGAATACTATGGAAAATATATATAAAATTTCTTTCTCATCCCTATGGGTGGTATGTGTCTTCCTCAGTCTTTGTCAACTACCATAGGTTCTGTGCAGTATTTCAGTTTTTCCTAGCTCTGCACACTTCTGGGCAGAGAGCCTTGATGTTGTTCCTGCGATCTGTTGGAGCTACTTTTCTAGTTTAGGAATCACAGCTTTGAGAGCTGCTTACCACTACTGGGCACACTTTGGCCTTTAATTTTCACACCCACTCTAGTTCTACCTTTAGGTCCTGGCACTTCTACAGTGTCCTTCCTGATACTGCTGATACCACTACCTCAGTCACTACTCCTGGTCTTTACTAGGTCCCTGCTCCTATAGATGTGGTGCTTAGTGCCCATTCTTGTGCTGTTAGGATCAGTGCTTCAATGCTGTCTTTTAGTCCATCCCTTTCCAACCATTGGAAGAATTTCCCAGTTATATGTCAAGAGTACATCCCATGCAGAATCTTTTCTTGCTAGGGCACTTACTCTGCTTGATCTTCATCCCACATCTGCTGTTGTCCCAGGCATTCTTTCAACATTCATATTGGGTCCTATCTTAGTGATGTACTCCTGAATGCTCTGAGGACAACGGCTTTGACACTGATCAGACCCTGCCTGCTCTCTCTATGGATGGTGTATAGCCTCTGGTGATAAATGTTGGACTCAGTATGGAATCCTCCATACATTGTGAGGAACTTCCAGATCTTCACATTGGTAGCCCCCCTGTCCTCCTTTGACCAGCTCACTATGCTGGCAGGTATCTGATGACTGGCAGGGCATACTAGTTGATAGCATGGATCTGTAGCATTTTTATTACTTACAACCTTACCTTCTCCAATATATCCCTGCTCATTTGCCTGTCTCAGAAACTGAGTGAAATTAGCACAATGGATAGCAGCAACATCCATCCCAAAAACAACAGATAGATGGCTAAATAAGGGCTTAGCCACTCTTTAAAAATGCACAAAAACATAGGTGCAGAAGAAGAAAGGAGAGGACTTGCTATATGGAATTGAATTTGGAGTGCTGAAAGTCTGTAGGATTGAGAAAATAGTATGACTGGCTTGTACTGATTTCTCTAAAACTGTGAGAAACCAAAGAATTTGGATTGTTAAATGATATACAAAAAAAGAAAAGAAAAAAGACAGTCAGGTAATAAGAAATTGAAGCAAATTGTGACTTAATTGTAATTTCATTCAGGCAAACATAATAGCTGTATTTTAACAAAGCGAGGAAGTAATATAGATTAATTTTTAAGTTACTATAGACTTCACTAATATGACATCTTCCAGATACGTTATAATTACAATACCTAAAATTCCTAGCAAGAGACATACTCTTTGCTATTGTTTGAGAAAAACATAATAAGGAAGATATTAAGAACATAAGATATTCCCAAGCAAAAATCTGCCTTCACTTCAGTGTATACATTATTTTATTAAAACAGATTTCATTCTAACAGCCTGTAGTCTTTGTAGCAGAGAATTTAACAACAGTGGGGAAAAAAGCCTCCTGTGATGTAGCTATATTGAAAGGAATGGAATTACAAGGAGATTAGTTTGCAAGATTTAATTTAACTGAAAATCTGTTTTAAACTAGATGTAAATTGGAATGGGCAAGGGAGCAATGCAGATCTATAGGATTGCTTTGGTGCTGTATATAAAGAAAGCCAAGAACATTTTTGCCCATGACCAAATGAGTGGTTATATCATCTCTTGCAGGTATCTCTCACAGTATTTAGGATCCCTGTAATAAAGAGTATACAAAACTGAGAGCCATCAGGACCCCTGACACGAAATGATTACAAATGGCTTTGTAAGATGCTTTCTGTTACTTATCAAAAATTTATAGTGCCTCGTATGGTAAAATCAAGTTCTTCTGCAAAGTGAGATGAAACTAACTTTGCAGTAGTTGTGATATCTTATACAGCAGCCATTTATAGTAACCTACGTATGAAGAATGTGATATGTGACTGATTTTTTTTTCCTAGTGGTATGTATGATATGATATTTATACTTGCTTTATCAAAAATGAAATTGCTTCCATACTCCATTGTAGCAGTATGGAAGTATTTGTTACTATTGAGATTTCCAAGAAAAATCAATTGATTTCACTATTAAAGTGGGTCCAAGAATCAGAGAAACTGGATGGCAGGTGTCTTTAAAGACTCCTTGTAGATGGAATATTAATTAATGACAATCATAATCAGATACCACAAAAGTCTAATATATTTGATAAAATACTATTCCAAGCCACAAATTTGCTTCTTCACAATAGGATTTTTTTAAAAAGCAATTATATAAGTTAGAGCCAAACACCAATATAAATAATGAGATTTCGGGAGTTAAAATGTATACATACCTTGGATCAAGGAGACTCTTCAAAAATTGGAAAAGCAAATGTTCATCCTGACAAGAAAAGGTAGGAAAGCAAAGTGAACACTGTGTTTCAGATTCAACTATTCTTAATATTTTAACAGATTTAGTGATTCAGTCTGCTTATGAGTTCCCTATAAATTTGGTATACAGGTAATCCTCAACTTACGACAGTGACCTTTCAAAGTTGCAATGGCACTGAAAAAAAATGACTTTAGACCGTTTTTCACACTTACGACTTTTGAAACATCCCCATGGTCACATGATCAAAATTCAGACACTTGGCAACTGACCCATGTTTATGATGGTTGCAGTGTCCTCAGGTCATGTGATCACCTTTTGTGACCCTCTGACAAGCAAAGTCAAGGAGAAGTCAGATTCATTTAACAACCGTGTTACTAACAAATGCAGAGATTCACTTAACAAGAAAGGTCATAAGAAAGAAAGAAATTTAACAAGAAAGGGCAAAACTCACTCTAAAAATGTTTCACTTAGTAACAGAAATTTTGGGCTCAATTGTAGTCATAAGTCGAGGACTACCTGTACTTGATCTATTATGAAAATGAATAACATTCAGCAGTTATAGAACAGAATATTCCAAAGCATTAAATCCATTTAATATTCACTGGCTAAAGATAATAACATGTCTAGATTCAAAAACAGCTGCTTCTACAAGCACATTACATTATTCAACATCCTCAAGCTATTTTAATTTGGTACAAACAGCAGGTATTCAAATATATGGCAGTATAACTCAGGCTTCCTATTACAGCCACTGTCTGTCACAGAACACCTGAATACTGCTGGGAATTCTGGAATATATGCAAGAATATCTTCTCAACTGATGTTCAACCTCGCACTCTGTGTGTCCTCTACAATGTGTTAATCTTCCCTAAAGATTACATTATGTATCAGAAGAAACCAGACCCATTTTAATGCATCTTGTTTGCTACTGCCAATGTTCTCACTGGAGGAATACCAATAAGCTTCAATCTATCAGTCTATTTTTTTAAAAAAAACATTCTTTTTAATAACTCAGTGGCGGACTTCTTTTAAATATCTTCTTACCAAATTCCAAATACAAAAACTTGTCGAGAACCATCAGAGCTAGATATAATTCAGAAAAGTGTTGGCCTGTACGGAAGCAGATAGGCTCACTCTTGAACTTAAAAATAAAGGGGAATCAGAATATTTTGAAGTCTGGAACAGATTTTATGATTGGTATAAGACAAGGTGACAAGACTGGAACAAACTGTATATATTGTGATTGGACAGAAGGATAGACAATGTATTAAGTAGGCTAATTGTTAATGGTTGAGACTAGCTGTATATAATGTGAATGTATGGTCACTTCGACTTCGCGGTACTGCATTGCTTTAAATGTAAAAATAATAAAAATATATTAAAAGAAAACTTGTTGAGAATGATATTTTTAAGAAAGCAGCATGATCTTAGATACTGACAATTTTGCAAAAAAATTAAAAAAAAATGATTTCTTATCCTTTGTGACAACTCTTCTCAGAAATTATAGCAATAGCACTTAGACGTATATACCGCTTCACAGTGCTTTACAGCCCTCTCTAAGCAGTGCCCCCAACAATCTGGGTCCTCATTTTTACCGAACTGGACCTCGGAAGGATGGAAGGCTGAGTCAACCTTGAGCCTGGTGAGATTCAAATTGCCAAATTGCAGGCAGCCGGCAGTCAGCAGTACTGCATTCTAACCACTGTGCCACTGTGACTAAATTATGTTTATTAACCCAATGTAGTGCCCAGTTGACTGAGCAACCTGTATTATTTTAACTTATCCTTGAATTCTATTTTGACTATGTCGTTTACATGTTCTCCCTTGCAATGATCACTATTTTTGTATCACAGATCTTTGGGTTTAGTCTGTGGCATGTTTCTTGGCTGCTTGTTCCTTTATTGTCTCAAAAGTGCTTTTTTTCCCAAGAGGCCGCTGGACTTTCTTGTTTTTTCTTTGTTTCACTTCTTATCCAAGAAGCTTCTTCAGCTATGATAAGATAGTGGGGAATGGAAAGATTTATATTCCTTGCAAAGTAAATAAACCCTTCCATTCCCCACTATCCTGTCAGAGCTGAAGAAGCTTCTTGGATGAGAAGCAAAATGTCTTCAAAAGAAAAAAACAAGAAACTCCAGTTGCCTCCTGAGAAAGCACCTTTGGGACAACTATGACCTGGGTGACTGAGAATCTCTACAGCAGGGGTGTCAAACCCGTGTCATCATGGTGGCATCATGTGACGTATCGGAACTTTCCCCTCTTTGCTAAACTGGGCATGGAAGTGGCCAGCATCTGAGGCATCTGGTCTGGGGCCACGAGTTTGACAGAGTTAACAGTAATTCATCCTAGATCAAATATCCACATTTGTTTCTTAATGCCATTTCTTATCAACTATTGTCTAAGTAAAAATAATAAATTCCATCTCCACAATTGATCTATCTTCCCAACAAAAGTCCAGATAAGTGGTTTCCAGTTAAATCCATTCTCCAATCTCCCTCAGTCCCGTTAGGAAAAACCAGTTTGTCACTTCTCTATTCAGTCAGGCTTCTCGTATTGTAAAAGAATGCAGGCTTGAACTTCAAAGAGGCATAAGCGATCAGCTGAGTTAGTTCTCTATCTGTACAGTCCATATATCTTTGTTCTGAAATTTTCCTATACTATACAATATTTCAATGTCCTCTTTCTATTTTTCTTTGATATTCTTCGCTTTGGTTACTATGTTACTATTAGTGTCCTTTAGCATACCAATACAAGGTTGAAACCTCCTTTTGCATTCACAAATCTTTTGAAAAACTTTGTTTCCATCTTCAATGCCTTTACAGATATTGTTGTAATATTGTTTTTGTACCTTCTAACAGCTCTCTGAAATTCGGTCTTAAGTTTTTCCTTGAGATATATTTATTTCTTAGTTTTGGCATCTCTTTTTAACTATATCTATGGTTTGTTCTGGCAATCACTTTGCTTTTTTAATTTAAATCGTTGACAGTCTCTTTTCACACTAATCTTTACAACTTCTTTAAGTTCATTCCACAGTTTTTATTGTTCTCAATCAATGTAGTTTAGGATTTCAAAACAACTCCAGATGTACTCTTTAAAATAAATGCTCAACATCATATTGTGGACTGGCTTTCTTCTTTTTAAAAAATATATTTTTATTGTAGAGTTTTCTTCCTTTTACATCACAATTTCATCTTTGCAACAACGCTATGCCTGTTTATATCCACAGCTTTTGTTTTGTTATATATACCGTTATATATACATTATATAGTTATCATTCTAGATATATTTTTACATTTTTGTAACATCTTATTATTATATATTATATATAATAAATATTCTTCATATTTCATTATATTTATTTCTAATTTTGAATTTATTAATCATCTTTCATTATTAGTTTTCTAATCTTTGCATCTACTATCAAGCCAATTATACCATACATCCCAAATTAAATAGTATTCTGTTTCTCCTTTGTCTTTGATTTCCATTGTCAATCTATCCATCTCAGTGCAGTCTAATATTTTCTTTATTACCATTTGCTGAGAGGGACTGGCTTTCTTGTTCTGTAGCTTATCTCTGAATTTACATACACTAAATAGTCTATGATCTGTTCTGCAGTCAGCACCTGGCTATGTGTGATGCTTTGACAGAGCTTTTCCATCTCCATTTAAGCAATAATATGCTTAATTTAATTTTTATATATCCTAGCTATTAATGTCCATATATATGGGCATTTGCTTTGATTATTTGAGGGCTGTATTAGCTATGGAGAAATTGTTGGAATTGTAGAAATTAGTAAGTTGTTCTCCTGCTTCATTTTTCTAAACCATACAATCCATCTACAATTCCCTCCCAATATTTCCAACTTTGGTATTCCAGTCTCCAGTCATAAGAAACCCATCTTGCTTGCATATTCTGTCAATTTCAAACTGAAGAGAAGTACTAAGAACAAGACATTCCATTTATTTAACTGGCACTACAGTTATGATTTACCAAGGTAAGTTTCATGCGATGTCACTACACTGAGCTATATAATTCAAAGTATAGGAAATTTGCATGTATTTCTTTAGAAAGTGGTATTGTATGTTACCGGTGGAATTTATCTTGGTTTATAGTTTGACCAGGAATTAATTTTGATTGTTGAAAATCAGTAGCATTTTAGAAGCACAGAAAAGGGTGAGTGAGGAAAACAAACAAGAGATTTTAATTCCCTTGCAAGGGAACATGTTTGCAAACAAATTATTGCAAATTCTTTAAAAGAGCTGTAGGAAGATTTTGATAGGCAATCTGCTTGATTTTAACAGAAATATATGAATCTGGATTTGTTGAAACTGGCACTGTAAATCAAGATTTAAAAACCTGACCTTTGGTAAGTGATGCATATTTCATAGAACAGAAATATGTATAGAAATAGATAAATCTAAGAATTGTTAACGAATTAATCAGCTATATTGTCATGGCTAAACGTTTCTGCCTACACAACAAATATAAGAGGAAATCAGGATAGTTATAAAAAGAAATCTAGATAACAGTATTACTCTTAATAACTATGCATCCAATAGCTTTTGTATATAGACATGGATGTGTATCTTATAATAGTAGCATGGACGAGTTCTTATAATGTGTAAAAGTTTTTTAATACACTACTGTATTCTATTTATTGTTTCAAAAAAATCTACTGCTTTAAAAATAGACAATATATTTTTTGCACTGTGAAATGTCATACAAAGAAAAGGAACCATAAGACTAGATGAGATTTGGCATATAACAATATGTTTCCTAGGTTGTTCACAACTTTTCTTTAAAATGGAAAATGTACCTTTAATATTATTTAAATACATATTTTATGCTGTTGAAAATTCTGGGCATTTTCCAGGCTTGTCCTGTTGCAATTTAACACACACACACACAAAATGAAATATAAAGTTGAAAAAAATCAGGAAGCAACATTTAACAAGTTCCAAGGGAAGTAAAAAGATCAATACACAAGACATAAATATCACTTGAACTTAGCTTCAAACACAGTTCTCCTCAAGGCATTTCATGATGCTATAGATTTTAGCAATATTGTACTACATTGATCTCATTTTATGAATTGCTCTGTAAGTGTTTTATGGAATAGAAGGAGCTGAAATTTTGGTTAATACAGAAGCAGGGGGGGAGAAATCTTGTCGGCTAGCCAATAAAAGGATTTAGAATTCTCTACCTTTCTTTAAAATGAAAAGAGAAGGAGGGCGGGAGGGAGAGAAATGTGAGACTGGTGGGAATACGGAGAGCAGAGCAGGTCTATTTAATCTGTTATATTTGTAGCAGATTGTTGCCTCAAAAGACCTAGTAATTATGAGAGGAACCTTTGAGTGCTAGTGGACAATCACTTAAATATGAGCCAGCAGTGTGCTCAGATGCCAAAAAAGCCAGCACAGTCCTATACTGCATCAACAGAGGGATAGAATCAAGATCATGTGATATGTTAGTACCACTTTATAATATCTTGGTAAGGCCACACTTGGCCCACAGTTTTAGTTCCCATGATAAAAAAAAAAAGACGTTGAGACTCTAGACAGAGTGCACAGAAGAGCAGCAAAGATGATTAGGAGGACTGGAGAATGGTTGTAGGGATGGGGTATGTCTAATTTAATAAAAAGGTTTATGGGTGACATGATCACACCGTTCCAATATCTAAGGGGCTGCCACAAAAAAGAGGGGGTCAACCTATTCTCCAAAGCACTTGAAGGCAGGACAAGAAGCAATGGGTGGAAACTACGGTAATCAAGGAGAGAAGCAACCTAGAACCAAGGAGAAATTTCCTGACAGTTAGACCAATTAATCAGTGGAACAACTTGCCTCCAGAAGTTGTGGATGCTCTCACACAGGAGGTTTTTAAGAGTTTGGACAACCATCTGTCTGAAATGGATAGGGTTTTCTGCTTATTCTGTTAAGACTAGTTTCTCGCCTACCTTATTTTAATTCTCATTTTACTATCCTTGCAGGCACTTAGGCCAGCTAACAAAAAAATTAAAAACAGAATGTAATTAAAAAAAATACTAAAATTAATTAGCCATTAAAAATCTGGCAGAAAAGTTACATTTTCAAAGATTTGCCACTTGTAAAGAAACAGTTTTTGAAGTAAGTGAGTGCAGAATAGAAACATTTAGTGCAAGCCTATAGTATAGTTACTGTTTGTTTGTTTGTTGTATACCACCTTTATTATTTTTACAAATCTCAAAATAATGAACATATTCAACACACTTTCCTCCTCTTTCAAAGGCATTAGCTTGAGATAATTATGTATAGAATGACAGTACAGACAGGTTCAAATTTTGAAAATATATTCTAGTAAAATGCACACCCAAAGACACTACACACTAATTAACTGTTTTTTTTTACAACAGAAGTGGGAAAGAAATCAGCAGCAAATTATATTGTGACAAGGGACAGAAATATTATTTTGTAAGAAAAATTACACTTTCCTCCTAAAAATTCTGCTTCTTTCTAATCTACCAATCTCTGATGCCAAGATAACAAAAGTACATCAATTATTACATTTGCATGTGTGCATATGTACATATGACAAAGGAGAGGGTAATGTACTTTAAATCGGTCAATTTCCACCTTTGAATCATAGTTACAAAATGGTTTGAAAAATGATCTGTTTCAGTTCAATGGGACCTAATCCCATTCATACAAATGTGTGGCAGTAAGCAAAGGTTACTTTTGAATATCTGGTTTTTTGTAAGCAAAGCTCATTGTGTTCAGTGAGATCTTGTATTGTTCTACTCAGAGATATAGTATGTTGATTTAAAAAAAATAAGAACAGTGAAATTAGTTCATAATATTTCTAAGCCATAGGTATCAAAGGTGATTAGAATCAAAATCTAGGATGTACAATTAAGCTATCATTTTAAAAGCTGGCAACAATATTTCACTTGGAATCTCTAAGGAAACAGTATCCAAAGTCAAGGTGAAAAGCCCAGCAATATATGGAATTTAAGGTCTTGTATGCCTTAATTCAGGAATACTTTCATCATGGGGCATCTCTACCAAGTATTTGGGGAAACTGTGTTTGTTGACTAGACATATATCACCCTTTTTAATTTAGAAAAAAAATCCTCTGGTTTTACTTACTATAAAGATTTGTACACATCTAGACTTTTGAAAAATAGGCTCCTCTAAGTTTAGGAAAGTGAAAAATTATTTTTTGTGATGAAACACTACACATCAATTTAGTTGCTTAATAAATCTTTACCTGTAGAATCTGAATTATTTGTTCAATCTCGTCACTGAAATGAATAGAAATAAGATCTGCTGTTTTAAAAGGACTCACTGATGTCAGCTCCTAAGCAAAAGAAAAAAAAGGATTTACAGATCCATGAATTTCAGGATTAAATACATGAAATTTTAATTCAATTTGTGATATTTCAGAATTTACTCTGAATTCTATTCCAAATGTTTCTTTCTTTTTATATTAGTAAGGTAAGGTGATAAAGGACAGAGATAAGCATCTCTGTGATTATGTTTCTTTTTTTTTTTCACTGAAGAAGATATCTTCAGATGTTGCCTGAAAATACCAAATTCTCCATTCTGAATTTTCCATAAGAGTCTCATTGGCTTCTATGTATATTCAAGAAACTTCTTCTAGCTTTATATTAAATAAGTATTCAGTAGGAAAGTGTTTTCAGAAGCCATAAATGTTACCACAATCATATGCATTTTATATTAAATTCCAATGAAAGACTATAGTGCAATTAAGATTAAAGCAGTGGATGCATAATTGGTTAGTATTGCTATTTTATACATATTTTCATAAAAAAATTCTATTGGAAACATTGTGATTTAGATATACATGATGGATATTTACATTGGAAAGCCATTGTCAAGGGTGAACATTTTAATACTTTACTAATTTGCAGAACCAGTTTTTAAATATGTATCTGCAATCTGCATATATAGTTTCTATCCAATTTATGTGCTAACAACTTAAATAATAATTCATGCTTCCATATTTACTACCTAAAATAAGAATGATTACATGCATAATAATTAGGCAAACCAAGAAATCTCGTGGCTGTTTTCATATTTCCAAAAGCATCCTAGAGGCTAAAAAGGAATCAGTATTTTTCTTCCACATTCATACATCCCATTTATTGCTAATGCTTTCCTCTAGCTGCAATCAGCTGAACTATTTATTAGTTTCCCCCCCTATTATAACTCCCAGGTTGGAAAAGTTATACTACAGCTTTTAGAACAACTGTATCACACCTTATTATGTTTATGTTTATACATACTAACTTTAGGGGGGTGGGGGATTGGTCATTGTGCAGCATAATCCTTCAGGGGCATCAATACGCCAAATCTAGAGTCATATGTATGTAGCAGGGCTGCAATTGTGTCCCAGACTTGTGAGACTTTCAGTTTGAACAACCACTTTGAAGTCATCATCCTACCTTATCCAGCGTGATCTCTTTAATGTATGAAAAGCTTTCTTCTTTAGAAAACATACCACTAGGGAAATGGAAAACTATGCATCTTATAAGCCTTGAGGTCTGTAGCTGGAGATAGTCCTTGAGCTATGAGAGCAACTGGGACAGGAATTTGTATCATTAAGCACTGCGGTCATAAAGCACAACATCGCATGACTGCGTCGCTTATCAATACCAATTTCTGCAGCCCATCAATACAAATTTATGCTGCCATTGCTAAGCAAAGAACGGGGGTCGTTCAGTGAACATCTCCTCACAACTTTTCATCAGCTTCCACCAGACAAAATCAACAGGGAAGCCAGCAGAAGGTTGCTAGTCCCAAAGGCTTGCAAGCAGGCCAAGCAGTGCTGCTGGATGGGAGAGGGAGCAAAGAGTGTGTGGGTGATCAAGAAAGCACAGAGCAAGCATGGTGAGGCTTGAGTAGCTGCTGCTGGATGGGAGAGGGAGCAAAGAGTGTGTGGGTGATCAAGAAAGCACAGAGCAAGCATGGTGAGGCTTGAGTAGCTGCTGCTGGATGGGAGAGGGAGCAAAGAGTGTGTGGGTGATCAAGAAAGCACAGAGCAAGCATGGTGAGGCTTGAGTAGCTGCTGCTGGATGGGAGAGGGGGTCTGAGTGGTGGCATGTCATGAGTATGGCAGGAGTTGGGTAGCTGCTGCTGGGTGGAAGAGGCCGTCTGAAGGTTTGGGAATGGCAGGGGAGGTACAGCACAAGTGCAGCAAGGCTTGGGGAGAATATCTGAGGGTGAGTGAGTGACGGGATAATGTGGTGTGAGCAAGGTGGAACTTGGGTAGCAACTGCTAGGTGGAAGAGGGTATGTGAATGGTAGAGGAGATGGAGCACTTAGCATACTTTGGGGTGGCTGCCCCTGGATGAGTGAAGATGTGTGAGGGTATTCGGGTGGTGAGGGAGAGTACAGCAAGGCATGTGGAGTGGCTAGCGCAGCAAGGCAGGGTATCTAAGGTGTGGCAGGAGAGGCATGGTGCAAGTGCAAAGAAGCTGGTGGGGGTGACTTGCAACTTTCCCCGCTGGTTTTCCTATTGACTTTGCTTATTAGAAGCTGGCAGTGAAGGTCACACATTCTGATCAAGTGACCTTGAGATGCTGCAACTGTCATGTGAGCTGGTTGCCAAGCACCCAGATAATAACCATGGGATTGCAAGGATGCTGGAATAGTCGGAGCTTTGAAGACCAGTTGTAACCACCACTCATTCAGTGTCTTCATAGTAACGCTAAATTTGGATATTCAGAGATATTCAGAGAATAAAAAACAACAGAGAAAGAGGAACCACGGCTTTTTATAGTGAATCATGAAATTCCATTAAGAAAAATCTTGTTCATCTGTGGATATTTGATTACAAATGCTTTTAAATTGTATAGTGACTGATCCGAAGAACCAAAGTGTCTAATTAACTTTATGTCAGTCAATGCATGAAGCTTTCTATCCTCAAAAGTAATTATTCTTAATCAGATAAATTGAATTTAGAGACAAAATTAATTTAAATATTAGAAATATGGTCTTATTCTGTTTTCACTTATATTAATTTATTAGGATATATCAGCTATACAGTATTACTGCATATAGAATTTAAGATATATATATATATATATATATATATATATATATATATATATATATATATATATATATAT